GTGAGAAAACTTCCAAAGTTTGGGGGAAAAAACAAGACAAAGTGATTAGGGAGAATAGACCTGTTCTGCCCACAAGACCAGGAAGAGTGCCTGTTCCCAAAAGCCAAACTAAAAAACCTCATAATTCATAGAGTAATAAGACGTCTTGCCTCAGCAGTGGGAAATAATTAGCTCTAGACTAAACTGTTCAGGTTTTGCCATTAAATCTAAAAAAGCAAGATTCAAAAGAACTCAACAATTTTTTAGAAACTTGATAGTATTTAAGAGTAAGAATATTTATAGGAAGACAGAAATACCTAGTACCAAAGAAGGTAACATACATGTCTGATACTCAATCAAAAATTACCAGACATGCAAAATAGTAGGAAAAATTATCCATGATAAGAAGAAAATCCAATCCAATCAACCAAACCCAGAACTGACAAAGAGGACTAAACTAGAGACAAGGGCATTTCCATTCCAATCCCACTCTCTACAGTTCCACTCTCTTAACATTTGTGTGATTTGTTGAGATGAAGTTTACCTTATATAATTTTTACTAAAAATGTGCTAAATCAACTAATAATAAACAATATTGGAAGACCTAATGATTAAAGGTTTGAAATTTTCCAAGTATGCTAAGGGTTATATTTTAGGTACACTCCTGTCATATTGAAAAAAGAAATATTCAAAACACAAATTATATTTATTCATTAAAGAAAGAAAATAAAATACTGTCTATAACAACTCCAAGATTGCTGTAAAATCTTCAAAGTGATAAAGCACATTCTAATGAATGCTTGAAAACAGAAAAATTACAACAGCCATAAATAACCTTTTATATTTGCTTCCTTTTATTCTAAAAACTGAGGTTTAATGAATTTTGTAATTGTGCTTATATGTTTTGTAGGTAAATTGTATCTTTGAATTTCCTGACTGTACATTAGTAATTATTCCATTGAACATAACTTGCTTACCATGTTTGTTTATATCTTTCTACATTTTTGGCAGAATAGCAAGGTGACTGTGGCATGCAGCTAAAACACTGCTTATAGAGAGATTTGCAGCATAACATAGGAGATAAAAGTTTAAACCAATAATTGAAACTTTACCTTAGTAAACAAGAAAATGAGCAAATCAAACTCAAAGCAAAGAGAAGAACATAGAAATAAACATATAAGCAGAAATTAATAAAACTGAAAATCAATGAAATCAAATGCTGATTTCTGAGATGAATAAAATTAATAAACCTCCGATCATAATTAACAGGAAAAAAGAAGAAAGAAGCTAATGACCTCAATGAGATATATGGAACATTCCATCAGATTTACATACATTCAAAGGGTAATAAGGAAGTCTTATAAGGAACTTTATGCCAATAAATTAGAGAACTTCAAGGAACTGGAAGAGTCCTTCAAAAGACATAAACTACCAACATTCACTCAAAGAGAAATAAATGGAATAACCCTGTATTTGTAAAAAGAAGTTGAATTTGTAGTCAAAACCTCCCGCAAAGAAAATTCCAGACCTAGATGACTTCCATGGTGAATTCTACCAAATATGTAAGGATAGAATAATAACAATTTTATACAAACTGCTTGAGAAAATTGAAGAGGAGGGAATACTTACAAATTCATTCTCTAAGGTTAGCACTATCTTGATAACAAAACTGGAAAAAGGCATTACAAGGGGAAAAAAACCCCTAGAGATTAATCTCTTATAAACAGAGAATCAAAAAAACCTTAAATTGTTTCAGCAATTTGAATCCAGGAACATATAAAAAGGATAATACATCATGACTACGTGGGGTTTATCCAAGAATGCAAGGCTAGTTCAACACTGCAAAAACTCAATCAATGTAATTTGTAATATTAACAGACTAAAATAACTAAAATCATTCGATCATCAAAGTGAATGTGGAAAGCACTGGAAAAAAATCAACAATTCACAATAAAAATTCTCAAAAAAGTTGAAGGGAACTTCTTCAATTTGATTAAGGGCATCATTGAAAAACCTACAGTAAAGATCATATTAAGGTTAACTGAATGCTTTCTCTCTAAGATTGTAAACAAAGCAAAAACTACTTCAATTTCACACTGTATTGGAAGTGTTAGCTGGTATAGTAAGGCAAGAAAAAAAATGATACAAAGCCAGATTGGAAAAGAAGTAAAACTGTCTATATTTGCAGAGCATATGATTATTGATAAAGAAAATCCTAAGAAATCTCCCAACACTACCAGAATTACTAAGTAATATTAGCAAAGTCAAGGATACAAGGACAGTATATAAAGATCAATTGTATTTCTATATTATAACAATGAACAGTTATAAAGTAAAATTAAAAGAATAATACCCTTTACAATAGCATCAAAATATATGAAACAGTGATAAAGTCAACATTTGCTAGACCTGCACACTAAAAACTACATAGCATTGATACGAGAAAATGTAAAAGACCTAGATCAACGGGAAGATAGATCATACTTATGGTTCAGAAGACACAGTATTGTTTAGATGTTAATTCAACACAAATAGATCTGTACATTCAATACAATCCTAATCAAAATCCCAGGAGAAATTTTTATAGGAAAAATAACCTGATTCTGAAATATATATATGGAAATGCAAGAGGCCTAGAATAACCAAAATTATTATAAATAAATAAATTAGGAGGATTTGTACTTTAGTGACTGAAATCATGATATTTATATAAACATAGACATGCAAAAAAAATGAAACATAGAGCCAAAAATAGTCTTACACATGTATAACCACATGATTTTCAACAGAAGCACCAGGACAGTCAATAGGCAGAGTATAACTTTCTAGATCTATATACAAAGAAATAAACCCTGAATCTTATCTCACACCATACACAAAAATTAACTCCAAATGAATCTAGTAAAACTTCTAGAATAAAATATAGGAGGAAATATTATGGCCTTAGGATAGATGAAGACTTCTTAAGTCAAAATAATATAATGCAAATCATAAAAGAAAATTGGTAAACTGGACTTTATCGAAATTATAAACTTTTGTCATTTGGAAGATACTGTTAAAAAATGAAAAGGCAAATCAGACAGGAATATATTTCCAAAACATACATCTGAGAAAGGACGTTGAATCTAGATATAGAAGATGAGCAATAAGCTAAAAAAATTAAATAAAACTAAAAAGTACCTAATTTTGACAAACAACTAAAGAAGATATACAGATGGGAAATGAACATATGAAAGTAAGTCATCACTAGTCTTTAGGCTGGTGGAAGTTAAAACAATGAAAATCCACTAAACACAAGAATGGCTAAAATTAAAATGGCAATATCATGGATTGGTAAGAATGTAGAGCAATTGGAATTATCATACATTGTTGATGGGAATACAAAATGGTACATCCATCTTGGGGCACAGTTTAGCAGTTATTTACAGTTAAACATGTACTTATCAAATATCAGGAAATTCCACTGACGTATTTTTACCCAAAGGAATGAAGACATATGTCTACAAAAGACCTGTAGGTAAATGACTGCAGTAGCTTAAAAAAAAAACATTGTCTTTTATTATCTTATCTTTTATTTTTTTGGAGGGGGGTGGTAGTTAGGTTTATTTATCTATTGAATTTTAGGGGAGGTATTGGGGATTGAACCCAGGACCTCCTGCATGCTAAGCACGTGCTCTACCAATTAAGCTGACTGCAGTAGCTTTATTAAAAACCCCAAACTCTAACAACCCAGTTATTCTGCAACTGGGGAATGGGTAAACAAATCCTATTCTACACAATGCAATCCTAATCAGCAATAAAAAGAAATGGACTACTGATACACACAACAACACAAATAAATCTTAAAATAACTATGTTGGTATAAGAAAACTCATACTGCATGATTCCAGTTTTATGAAAATCTAGGAAAAGCTAACTTAAACTGACAAAAAGCTAATCATTAGCTGCCAGGGGCCAAGAGGTGGGAAAGGGAGGGAACTCTAGGGAAGTGATGAAAATGTTCTGTTTCTTAATTCTGATGGTGGTTATAAGCATGTAAACAACTGTCAAAATTCACAGAACTTTCTGTTCAAAATTGGTGAATTGTACTGTATGTAAATTACGTCTCAAAAAACCTGACCAAAACAGATTAATGTAGAGAGAAGCACAGTATTCTCTGAGTAGTGTGATTTGTAGAAGTAAATGGAGTGAATCAGTCGTAAATAAACCCTCTGCTTAAGGCCTGTCTGGCCAAACATGAATGAAGACCTCCGCTGTGGTCACTGTCCTACCGTATACTTCTATAGAAATAGAAGTATGGAGGTAGGTAGTGTGGTTTATTCAATGTGGGGTTGCCCAGGATTAAATAACGTTTACGTATTCAAGGTAGTAAATGTTTGTGAATAAAAATTTAACTATACACAAACTCTCAAAACCCTTTTTAAAAGCCTAAGTACATTCAATACTCTTATATTCAGTGACTAGACAACAAACACGTATAAGATATTAGTTAGTTTGTATATTTTATTGTTTAGAACCACCCGGTGCCATTATTACATGACAAAAACAAACCAAGAAAAATTTTGTGGATCATATTTGGCTAAGCAACTTTTAATTCATGATGTGGGTATTTCATCTGTTCTCACTCATCAAATCTTCATTTTTAACAATAAGGAAAAAGCCATGAAGTCTAAATTTTAATATCTCTGTTGGGAATTAATATATTCTACAAGCATTAACTAAATTCTTCAACATCAAACACCTCTTACATAGGAAAAATTCAGACAGAGTTCCTCTGACTGAATTATGAAGAACTAACCTTTCTTCTGGAGAATTTTATTTCACATACCAATTATTCTAAAAGTATAAAAAATTATCTTACTGCTTACAGAACTAAATATTGAGGCAACATAAGAAATGACAATTAACCAGGAGTTTTAAAAAGATATTTTTATAAACCAACAGAGCAAAACTTCTTGACATTAAATTTTAAAGTAACTGAGTAACTTTGAAGGTATTTTGCAAAATAATACTATACTTACAATTTGTTGCTGTATGAAATTGAGAAGAAAGTGCTTGAGTAACTGAGTTCCAAAATGTGTATAGTATTTCAGATTGTCCATCCTATGACCCAAAAAAGGGGATATATTTATTAATTTTTAAAAATTATAATGGATAAGATGCAACACTGAAAATGTATTAAAAATTAAGTCAAAATTCCTAAGACATCTAACTAACAATGGAATTATTATTTTTTTTTAATTTTTATTTTTTTTGGGGGGGTAATTAGGTTTTTCATTCATTCACTCATCCATCCATTCATTCATTTATATTAATGGAGGTACCGGGGATTGGGCCCAGGACCTTGTACATGCTAGGCATGAGGCGCACACTCCACCACTGAGCTATACCCTCCCCCTCTCAGACAATGGAATTATTAATTAACTGACTCAAATCATGTCTCATGTTCAGGTAATCAGTCATCATCCTCCTCTGCTATTTACTAGCTGTGTGAGCTTGGGCAAGTTGCTTAATCATTCTGTGCCTCCTTCCAATCTGTAAAATGGAATGACAGTACCTACAATGAAGGATTATTATGAGGATTAAAAAAATTTATAAAAGTAAACTCTTGGGATAGTTCTTGACATACAATAAATCCTCAGTGAATGTTAGTTACTATTATTACAACTATTATTATTATCATCATTATCCTTTGACATACAAAAGGCAATTTGTGTGACCATAAGAAAATGAAGGACAAGCATGCTCAGACCAAGACTGACCACCAGGGTATAATTCACCAATTACAAAAGAGAACTGCCTGCAGTACCGATACAGTTTTAAGTCACAGGAATTACTGCTAATCAGCTCAGCAGGATACTGTCACTCAACTACGAGTATATATTTTAGAAGTAATTACTAAAAAGAAAAGATCAACATTAGTTCAAGAATCACTTATTAAAACAAGACAAGGTACTTTAACACTGTTAAAGCAGAATGATACTTCTAGACATTTTACCAAGTCCTTTAAGGTACTTCTATATGTAAGGTGCACACTATCAAATTGCAGGTAGTCTAAAGTACAAGAAGGCCAATTTCATATGGCTCACCCTAGTAACATAAAAAAAAGTGCACAATGTTCAAATATGACTACTGTCATAAAAAAGAATAATTAGGAAATACATTAATTCTGGTTCAGTTTTGCACTTGCAACAAATGAAATTCTACTTTTCAAGGTTATAAATGAAGAAAATGTCCAGTGAAAACTACTGATTTCTCATTTGAAAACTACTGATTTCTCATTTCTGTTCCTATATGCATGACTATGTTCCTTGTTATGTTCATCTTTTGCTTTGAATTTATACAGGTATCATAAAAAAGGCAAATCAAATAATTTTTCATTTCTTAGCAGTGACTAGAAAATAGATTCAGATGGCCAAAACTGTATGCAATATGTGTATCATACACCTTAAAGTGGGTGTTTTTCAACACTTAAAAGAACTATTGTAATACATCATATAAACAGAATGAAGGAAAAAAAAACCAGATGATCATTTGAACTGATGCACAAAAAAGTATCTAACAAAATTCAACATCTTTTCACGATAAAACCGCTCAACAAGCTAGGAACAAGCTAGTTAATTACCACAACATAATAAAGGCCATATATGAAAAGCCCACAGCTAACATCATAATGGTAAAAAACTGAAAGCTTCCTTCTAAGATGAAGAAAATTTAATTATATACTTACTTATACATACACACATACATATACTTTAAAAAGAGAACATGGATTAAACTTGCTTAAGCCTACAGATACCAAATTCTCAGACATGAAAGCAAATTGATTTCAGTATTTGAATTATTACCTAAAGAAGCAGGATTTATGTCAGCAATGTATCATTAAACATTAGGACTTATTAACATAATAGCTCAATGTCTCCAATAAGGAAATCTGCAGGATCATTTAGCTGAGTGAACAAAAGGGAATTAATGTTCTTTAGTTTAGTTAATAAAATACTTAATACCCAGTCCTCATATTTTTTATAAATTCATAGAAAACAATGCATAAAATGATTCTTGTCTTAAAAGCTATGGTAAAAAACAAAAAATTTAGCATCTTAAACATTCTTAAGAGTACAGTAGTAACTGTATGAGCAACAGATCTCTACAACTTTTTCACCCTGCAAAACTGAAACTCTGTACCTACTGAACAACAGCTCCCATTTTCTTTCTCCCCCAGACCCTGGCAACTACCTGTCTACTTTCTATTTCTAAGAGTGTGATGACTTTAGACACTTCATGTAAGTGGAATCACACAATATTTGTCTTTTTCTGATTGGATTATTTCATTTAGTACAATGTCCTTAAGTTTTATCCATCTCACAGCATGTGACATAACTTCACTTTTTTAAGGCTGAATAATATTACACTGCATGTATGTATATGTGTGTGTCTATCACATTTTCTTTAGCCATTCATCCACTGATGGACACTCGGATTGCTTTTATCTCTTGACTATTATGAATAATGTTGCAACGAACATGGTTAGGTAAATCTCTCTTTGAGATTCTGTTCTCAATTTTTTTTAGATATTTATCTCCAGAAGTGAGATTGCTGGCTCATATGGTGATTCTACTTTTAATTTTTTGAGGAACCTCCATGTTGTTTCTCTTAGCAGCTACACCACTTTACATTCCTATCAACAGTGTACAAAGGTTCCAATTTCTCCACATCCTCACCAACACTTGCACTAATGAATGCAAGGTGATACCTCATTATGATTCTGATTTGTACTTCTTGGTGATTAGTGGTGTTGATCATCTTTTAATATGCTTGCTGGCCATCTGTACATCTTCTTTAGAGAAATGTCTATTCAAGTCTTTCATACATTTTTTTTTACTGGAGTCATTTGTTGTTACTGCTGCTGCTGAGTTGTAGGAGTTCCTTCTGTACAATGGACATCAACCCCTTATCAGATATATGGCTTGAAGATATTTTCTCTCATTCTGTAGGCTGCCTTTTCCCTCTGTTGATAGTTTCCTTTGTCTCACAAAAGGTTTGAAGTTTAATGTATCTCCATTTGTCTATTTTTGTTGTTGTTGCCTGTGATTTTGGAGTCATATCCATGAAATCACTGCTAACTCCAATGCCACGAAGATTTTCCCCTATGTTTTCTACTAGGAGTTTTAAATTTTACATCTTTCACTTAGGGATTTAATTCATTTTGCATTTGTTTTTGAGTACAGTTTAAGGTAAGGTCCAATTTCTTTCTCCTGCACATGGATATCCAGTTTTTCCATCATCATTTGTTGAAGGGACTAGTAATAGAAAGTTTGTGTGACTCTCGTTACTATATTAACTATAATTTGTCTCATTTTATCTGAAATTAAGTTACTACTGCGTTCACTTGAGAAATGTCTGCCAATCCATTTATTTTTATTCTTTCCACGTTGTTTCTTTATGTGACTCTCATAAATAACATGTATATGTTCACCTAATAGGTTGCTCTTACTTTTATCATCTTATTTTATGCTTTCTTTGTGTTTCCTTTGTTTTCTGTGTTTGTTCAGCAAATTATTTTTGTTTGCTTTTATCTTCCCTACAGCCTTTTTCTTGTATTTCTTTTGGATTTGTTATTACCTATTCCTGTAATGAGCAATAAATTACTATGAGGCAAATCATCTTTGTAATTCCATAGAATTACTGAAATAGATTTCTAGAAATAATTCTTCAAGGCTTTTTAGAATTGCCAAAGTAAACAAGAAAACCCTAACCCTTAGACATGCCCTTTTGAAAAAAAAAATAGGGTTGCAGATAATCTGGCTACTTCTTCTTAATGATTAGTCACTTAAGAACTTTAGAGTCAAGAAGTATGTGCTTTAAACCTAATCTGAGAACTCAGACAAAGTGTCCATACTCTAGAATGTATGTCAAGAAATAGCTAAGAAATGAATATTTTCTGAATGTCTATTATGTAACAGCATTACTGGATATCTCATTCAAATCTTACAACAACTATGAGAATGTAAGCTCCATGATAGCAGAGGTCCCATTTTGTCTTTTTTATCACTGTAATTTCAGGATGGAGAATGTGGTCAGGACATAACAGGCACACAAAAATATTTACTGAAATAATGAATGGAACAATCTATAAGATGGCATCTTTAGTCCCTTTCTAGAGTGAAAACAAAGGTCAAGAGAAAAGGTGATTTTCTTAGAATTAAACAGAAAGTATCAGAGTTGGGATCTGATCTAAGGTCTGTGTGACTGATATATTAAACTGCAGATGTCAGGACTTGGCCTCTAGAACTTGACTTAAATCCATGAAGTCTGCTACTTATTGGCTCTATAACCTTGGGTTGGTGCTTCATCTTTCTAATTTGTAAACTATGTAGGCAATAGGGGAAATAATACTTCATAGGATTTAGTTTTTTATGAAGAGTAGGGATAACTTGGGTTAGACCTTAAAGGAAGATCGGAATTCACCATACACAAGGGAAGAAGAAAGGAGCATCCCAGAGTATTCTAGACAGAGATGTGAAAAAGCATTTTCTATCCTCTAAATGTACAGTGAGTTTTCAGGAAAGAAGGAAGAGGTGAGAATGAAAAGCAGGACAAGGATCAGATCAAGGAGTGCTTAATTCATCTTACAGACATCAGTGGAATATTTAAGGGTTTTAATGAGAGAATACCATGATAAAGCTTGTAGTAAATCCCTCTGGTAATAATGTAGAAGATAAACAGTGTGTGGGGTGGTGGTGAACCTGCACCACAAGATCATTTATGAATTTACAAAAAAAAAACGACAAGTGAAAGGGACTTTACTACAGCCACCACAGTGGAGGAGGAGTAAGAATGGGCAGAAGGAGACTGACAGGACTGGATGAGCAAGTCCTATTCGGGAAGAACTAGGAGTATGTATATTTGCAGAGGATGAGGAGGATAGAGACTGGTCAATCAAAACGGAATTTCATAAGGAACAGCAGGTGAAGAGAGGAAGATTACTTAGCTCATTTAAATGCGTGCTTCTAGAACCTGTGGGGCATCTAAGTGAAGATGATCTAAACCAGTGCATACATACAAATCTCTTGCTTAAGAACAAGACCTAAGCTGGAGAAACA